TAAGTTTATATATAGTCCACATTTAATAAATAATTCTAGTTTTCCTTCTGGGTCGACCTCGTCACACCGGGCTTGCCTAGTGCGGATTACTTCTCCGGTGTGGTTTACAAGCTATTGCATAGGAACAGGGTTTTACCATATACGCACCCAAAGGGTAGCGACTGCGGGTTTCTCTTGTAATAAAAAACATTTAATAAATAAGTTTAACCTAATGAACTATCTAATCTCAATAAATGCATCACTCTTCTTCTACTACTGCAGTCAAATAACGTCAAACTTCATTACAGAAACCTCAAAATCACACGAATAAATATTTCCCAGGATGTTGACGCTACATAACAATGAAATCACAATGCTTCCACAGATCGTTACTACATATAAATTTCTGAACACTTCAGAGTTAAGACACTGGGCTGAAGGTGTATCAGAAACATTCGCTCTACCTCTAAGGTAGTAGTAAGGTCTGTGTATACTCTACCTCCCAGACCCCATTTTGTGGGATTTCACTAGCTATGATGTTGTTGTTATTGTTCAGAGTTAGCATAGACCAAAAGACTACATTTTTCTTTGGTAGATGAAATCAAGTTAGGAAGAAAGATTCTAACTTGAGGTAATCTCTAAGATCCCAATACATTTGAATAGTATTGAATCGGAGAGTTAACAATATTTGTATCAAAGCAAATACAACAATTAGAATTGTTTTAATTTTTTTGCTCAAAGAAAAAGAAACGAGAACTATCTTGTCATCAAAAAAAAAAGAAGAAACAAGAACTATATGACTTAAATGTAAACAGCAAGAACATTTTATACCTTTCTGCCAGCAATTTTGCAGGAGCGCCTGCCCATACAGAGAGGAGAGGAAGTCCAAATCTTTCTGACTGAATTGCTCGATTGAAGTTCTAAAGGCAAGACCTTTATATCAGAAGATGAATACCATGAAGAATACGAAAAATTCCCACTCAACAAAAAAACACCTACAAGAAAATAAACAATTTAGGAAAATAAGGTATAAAGATTTACTTTTTATTGATGTATGGGAGTACTTACTTCTGAGAGTGCAAGAATGGTGGGGTTTAAGATAAACCCCATTTGAGATTCTGCAGAGAAGTGAGCCAAAAGCTCGAATTGAAGAAGATGAATACACCATTGCTATTCTATAGACTTCCAATTGGGTTTCAGTGAATTTCTACCATCTGAGTTCTAGTGGATGCATTTGTGCTGCTCAATCCTCAATCCTCAATCCTCAATCCTCAATCCTAAATCCTAAATCCTAAATCCTAAATCCTAAACAAACAGGATACGATAAAATTTTCTTGAATAACGGTGGAAGAGGAATGGAGCGCTATATAAGCAGCCGAGTTGAAACCTAAAACCCCTGTAAAGGAAAATATTTTATTTTAAACCAGGGTATTAAAAGAAAACCTAAAAAACTTTCGCCAAATTGAAAAGTTAAATCCACTATAAAAGAATTTACTTCATGTCTAGAAATATTGGCAATCCTCTAATAGAAACTATATAATGCATTTATTCTTTTTACTTTAAATAATGTGATTCTAACGTGGATCCAGAATAATGTGGTGTGACCTAGGTGGTGGATAAGAAGAGGGAAGTGAGATTGAGATGGTTTGAACATGTGGAGAGGAGATGCATAGATATACCAGTGATGAGGTGCGGAAAGTTGGCTATAGGAGGCACGAGGAGAGACAGAAGTAGGCCAAAGAAGTATTGGGAAGAGGTGTTAAGAAGGGATACGACGCATAGTAACGGACCCAGGATTTTTGTTCAGGGGGTTCGAAAAATAAAAGTATAAACGTGTAAATATGCCTTCCTTCAGAAATGGAAACCTTGAATTCTTTTGGGTTTAAAACCAAACTTTTAACACATTTTTCTGGGAGTCGATCTAGTGATGTAGAGCTTAATTTCAGGGGTACTTGCCACTGCGCCATCAGTTTCTCTTTGTTATTGAGGGGGTTCAATATATATATATATATATATCTACAGAAATACAGAAAATTTACCTCATATATACCGTGTAATTTTTTACCGAGGGGGTTCGGGTGAACCCCCTACATACCACGTGGGTCCGCCCCTGACGACGCAACTTCAGATAACCAAGAACATGGTTCTAGACAAGAGGATGTGGAGGACTCACATTAGGGTAGAAGGGTAGTAGGTAGTGTAGTGTTGTCTTGCTTAGAGTGACTGGCGTTTGCGGTGGTACTAGTGTATTATGGTAGTTTTTTTTACCTGTATCATTGTTGTTTATGGTGTGTCGTTATCAGAGACTCATAAAATGTCATAAATAGTCCCTTAACTATAGGAGTTGGTCTAAAATGGTCCCTTAACTATATTTTTTCGTATTTAGTCCTTTGATTATTCAAAAACTTATCAGTTTTGGTCCATTAACTACACACTTATCGATTTTAGTCCTTCAAGTATTCAAAAATTTATCAGCTTTGGTCTTCTAAGTATACACTTACCGGTTTTAGTTCATTAAGTATTCAAAAACTTATCAGGTTTTGTCTTTGTCCATTTTTCTTTACACAATAGCTTAGGTTTATATTAACGGAACTCTTCGTGAAATTAAATCTTTAGATCATTTTTAAGTTGTTTCTCTATCCCCGCTACTTTTTCTTCAAATTATTCTTATGAAAAGAATAATAACCTCAATGATTCAAAATAAAATTAACGGGGAGTAAGATATAAGTCTTAATTTTATTCAATGGAGGATAACATAAAACAAATATTTGTTGTTAATGAGTTGAATATGTTGTGATCCTTTCTTTGGCGGCTAACGGGTCATAATCCGAGCGAATTTTTTTAGTTTTATTTTTCATACAAAAGAAAAATAAGAGATTTGATCTTATTAATCAAATTTCTCTACATAAAATGAATAGAATAATAAAATCAATCTATCTTTTTTTTGCAAATTTACCATTTTATAAATTTCAACTTCTGAAAAATTAAAACAATTTTTCTTCAATAAAGTCGTTGGAGTACAAATTTTGAATTCAACGGGTAATATTTTTTTCTTTTTATAATAAAGTTTAGCATATTCAAGTCAGTAGTAACAATAATATGTTTCATTTTATCGTCTGTTGAATAAAATTATGACTTATATTTTCTTTCTTTGTGAATTTTATTTTGAATCGTTGAGGTTAAGGTTTTTTGCACAAAGGTAATTTGAAGTAAAAGTAGTGGGGAGAGAGAAACAACTAAAAAAATGGTTAAATGATTTAATTTCTTGAGACGTGGATTTCGTTAATATAAACCTAAGTTATTTATATAAAAATGGACTGAGACCAAACCTGATAAGTTTTTAAATATTTAAAGGACTAAAACTGATAAATGTATAGTTAAGAAATTACAATTGATAAATGTATAGTTAAAAGATTAAAACTGAATTGTATAGTTAAGGAACCAAATCTGATAAGTTTTTGAATAGTTAAATGACTAAATCCGACAAAAGTATAGTTAAGGAACCATTTTAGACCGACTCCTATAGTTAAGGAATTATTTATAGCATTTTATCTTCATTATCACATGATTTTATAGTACTTTTGCATTGTTTTTTATTATTTGCTATATTCTCTACATTGTCTCCTTTTTCTATATCAGGATTTGTTGCACTTGAGTCGAGAGTCCTTCGAGAACAACCTCTCTACCTTCACGAGATAGTGGTAAAAGTTGCGTAGATTCTATCCTATCCAAACATCACTTGTGAAATTTCACTGAATATGTTATTATTATTGTTTGATATTGAAATACGTCAAACTCTAATACTTTTTTCGAATTTGAGATCTTGCTTTATCATTATTTTTTTAAGGCGGAATGACCTGGAAGACCCTTATACTTGACTCTGTTTGTAAGTTGAACCCTTGTACTTATGACTTTACCAAATGGATCCTTAAACTCATTCAAACACAATATTTTAAACTTCTTGCCCATCTAATGTGTGTGCGTGTAATACACTCTTTTTACACATGAAATATCACGTCATTTTTTAATGACGCGTCATTATTATTATTTTTCCAATGACACATCAGAAATCAAATTTTAAAAATAAATAATACTAAAAAATAAAGAGTGCAATTTTCTCTCTCTTTCCCATTTCCCACTTCATCTTCTTCATTCTCATCCACCCTTATGCCTCACCCCAAAAATAAAAAAAAACATCATTTTCATCTTTCTTCATATTTCACATTCAAAAGTTTTCTCACTCATAAAATATGATAGATTGTAATTAGCTCTTGCACATGCTTTAGGTTCTTTTTATTTTTATTTGATAAAAAAAAATCAAGAAAGCTTCAAGTTGGAAAAAATATATTTATGAGTAAATTCAAGCAATAGATCTTAAATTTATGAAAATGGTGAATGATATGTTTTCTTGCAAAAGTTTTTTAATTTTATATTTGATGATTATGGTGATGGGGTGTATCTCAAAGAAGAAGAATAGAAAAGGGGTAGGGGCAGGGGTGGGGGGGTGTCTGGGGCGGAAGAAGAAGAGAAAAAGGACGGGGTTGGGGCTGAAGAAGAAGAGAAAAAAGATGGGGTGAGGCTGAAGAAGAAGAGAGAAGGGGTGGGTGGGCTGAAGAAGAAAGGTTTTGAAATTTATTTTTACAAAATTATTATTATTATTATTATTTTATCTTATAATTTTGATATTTTTAAAATAAAAATATTATATTCACTTGCTTTAAAACGCGTGTGGTCTCACATTTGTCCAACTCAATCATTTTAATGCCACATAAGCTCGGTCAATGGTCAGAGGGGTTTAGAAAATAGAGTTTCATCGAGTTTAAGAGTTCATTTGGCAAAGTGATGAGTAAAAGGATTCAACTGACAAATGGAGCCAAGTACATGAGTCTCCCAGGTCATTTCGCCTTTTTTTAAAATGAAACAAAGCATATTATTGTTTAAGTTTCATAGATTTAAAAATAATAATTAAACCAAGCATATCAATTTCTTTTTCACAACATTGGGTTGTTTCAGCAAATCAACTAGGAAATAAATGATAACTGGAATATATAAATAAAACTAAGACCAATGTTAACATACAACAGAAAATGTTTCACAGAAATCAACTGAAGGTCCCAGTATTGTTCACTAGGCAATCACGGAAATCATTTAAGCTTACAACAGTACATCCAAGCCATCGACTGAATTTTTCCGAACAATTTTAATGGATAGATATCTGTCTTGAAGGCATCAAAGTATTGTTGCAATCACTGTAGAGATGTCCTTTTACATTCTCTCCCATTGTGCATTCGGTGAGCGGACAAATTTAGCAGTAGAAACTTCTGGCTCAATTCTGTCTGCACCTTGTTGGTGACATAATACTCCTCCATACTTCTACTCTAACCTGAGTCACATATAACGCAAGATTCTAGGGAAACTGCTATTAACCTGGTGAGAGATTTCATACTCTGAATTGTCAAAATGCCTTTGTTATTCATACATCCTATTTTATCGAAGCCATCCCCCTACACACTTAGGCGAGGCAATAGTTCTCAAAACTGAGTACTATTTTGCAGTGCCCAATATTTCGAGCACAGAAAAATGCACTTGTTCCAAGTAGCAACAACAAGCAATAAATAGCAAATGCCAGATTTTGCAAACTACTGCTGCACCGTCCGTCATCATTGTTCAACAGTTCAAACCTGTCAAAATTGAGCCAACATCAGTTCTGCATTTGCAACAAAAGTTCTTTCGAAATGTTTCACACCCTAATTCTAGGAAAAGATGAATGATGAGTTAAGAACAAAAATGAAAGAGAGTTGGAAGTCAGAACCAGCAGGGTATGTTTACAAAATTTACCACCCCCACCCCCACCCCATCCTCTAGAAAGATGATAGACGAAAAAAAGAAGAAGGTAGTGTCTGGTTTGATTTATTAAAATCCCTGACCTATTTCTTTACGGAAAAGGAAACAGAACTAATAGACTCAAAAACATAATAGTTTGCAAAGCTTGGAAAAAGATACAGAAATATTACTGGTATATCTTACTCAAATCAGCAGGTAGTGAATATCGAGAAAAGAAAATGAAAAACATGGGCAATCACATTTCGGACAAGTTTCACATAACCTAACAATATTTCATGCCTTTAGATGCATCAGTTTGTTATCTCATTTTGACAGAGCCTATCATTTCATACGTTGATACATTACATTCAACGTACGCCCTTTTAAATACTTTGCTGTCATTTAATATCAGAGACAGAACTAACAAGTTTATGATCAGGTTTGAGTAATTTTTTTTTTCACAATGATTCAGAATGACTACTTCCTCTCTTGGAACCTCTTGGTATAACTATATCACCAGAAGGTAAATTTTCATGTGTTTAAATTCTGGTGTATATAATTTTTCATGATTTTTTGACTTGTTAAACCCAAAAAGATATTTTGCATGTTATCTTTCCAATAAGAGGTACACAATTATTTTGAACCTGAAGGGTTAAGGGTATCCAAAATGCTTTTCCTTTAAGACCGGAACAACTTGGGGCTCATTTTGGATCAAACTTCTCAACATGCCAACTAGTTCATCCGTAGTTTGCCAGACCAGTATGCCTTGATACATCCTCCAAAGTACTGAAGACTGCATGAAGTAACTAGAGAAATAGCTTGAGGAAGGTGGTTTTATAAACCCCTTAGTTAAAAGATCGGCCCTCAACTAAACCTCTTTGCAGTTGTGCAAGAGGAAAGTTAGGTCTAAAATGGACACAGAGACCACATATCCATGAGCTGACTAAGCAAGTAAAGAAAAGAACCACTCATGAACAGGTACCAGACCACAACGAAGCTTATGCACATGGAAAAATAGCTCAGAAGTGCATCAATGCAACAAGTGTTCACGGTTAATGAAAACTAAACCAAACAAAACCAATTAAGAAAACCGGCATTTGGTTTTAAGCTTTAAATACCGATTATATTTAATTTGGTTTTACTAAGAAAAATCGAAAAACAACCAAACTGAACTGATAAATTCTACACATAAAATGTAGAACTATTTGAACATATGATATTAGTTTTTCATTAATAATTATAAATCTTACCTTTTAATGATTAGTTTAATTTTATTCTACTTACTTCACAGTTCAATGGAAGTCTATATAATAGCAATGACCACATAATAACCTTCAACCCTAATCCATAACTTACGCAGAAATGATTTTAGTATCCCGGACTATTCGTTTCATGAACAATTAATAAGGTTCATAATCTATGCAACATGGTCTAATCACTAATGCCAAGTGTAAATTAATTGAGAAACATGACCAAAATAATCACATAAAATTAAGACCACCTAAAATATTGTGAAATACGCCAAAAGAAGGTGTGCACCTTTATCCACCATAGCAACGTACAACTGAAGACAAACTAGCCGAGTCTTCCTCTACTTTGGCTTCTGACGGCTGGCACCTTATGAGAAAAGATCTTAGGTTAAGCCTGCCATCATAAGCAAAAGGAAAGGAAGACTCAACGTAGTTCGTCTTCAGTTGTGCATTGCTATAGCGGATAAAGGTACACACCCTCTTTTCGCCTATTACAGAATATTATAGGTATTCTTAATCTATCTGATTATTATGATTGTGTTAATTTACACTTGACATCAAAGCATATAACATAGATCATGAACCGTATTAATTGTTCATGAGATGAATAGCCCAAATTACTGAAATTAACGTAACTTGTATCGCAGTTAAATCTGAAATGAAGTTTGTTTATCGACTGTGATTCTATTTTGATTGTTGTGTATATGCACAACATTATTCAATTAAAATAGTCCTGGTGAATCAAGTTCAAAGTTGATCTTGGTTTTGCGGTCTTAACTCGTTAGTAGTTTTCTTTTAACACATATGTGCTTCCGCTAGTAACAACAATTTGATAAGTGATAAGAGTCATTTATGAATCCTCTATTGAACGGAGAGTTTATGAAATTAGAGATCTTGATTTACGGTTTTCTAATCTGGGCATATAATAAATTGTTTTATCTTTGAGATATTTTTGTCGGCGTGTGAGTTTTCAAATTGATATAGTCTTCTTGGATCATATTATCAAAGGGGGTCTACATTTCTTAAATTTATTTATGAAAACTGCCTATATCACTCAAAATGAATCTTGGCCATCTTAAAATGTGTTGTTGAAGAGGGAAAAAATAGAAAAGAGAAACCTGAGGTTTCCTTGTTTGTTTCCCATCATTCCAAAGCAAGCTCGAGAAAGGGGACCTAGCCTCATATTTATAGGCTCTAAAGCCTTAACCTAGTGTGCCTCCCCATTATGGGCTCACAGGTCTCCAACAGACCTACACTATTGTCAACCCACACCTATCACATGAAATGATACATACCCATATGGAATCCACATAAATACATGACTTGTGTGTTGTCCACCAACTATTAACATTCAGCCAGTTTTGCTAAAAGCATAATAATAAGTTAATATATAGTCCACATTTAAATAATAATTCTAACCTAATGAACTATCTAATCTCAAGAAATGCATCACTCTTTTTCTACTACTGCAGTCAAATGAGGTCAAACTTCATTACAGAAACCTCATAATCACACGAATAAATATTTCCCAGGATGCTGACACTACATAACAATGAAATCACAATGCTTCCACAGATCGTAACTACATATAAATTTCTGAACACTTCAGAGATAGGACACTGAGCTGATAGACCACATCCTCTCTACCTCTAAGGTAGTAGTAAAGTTTGCTTACACTCTACCCTCCCCAAACCCCATTTTGTGGGATTACACTGGGTATGATGTTGATATTGTTCAGAGTTAGGATAGTCCAAAAGGCTACATTTTTCTTTGGTAGAGGAAATCAAGCTGGGGAGAGATTCAAATTTGAGTTGATTTCTAAGATCCCAATACATTGAATTTGGACAGGGTTAACAGTATTTGCATCAAAGGAATTACAACAACTAGAATTTTACTAGATTTTGCTCAAAGAAAAAGAAACTGTAACTATATGATTTAGATGTAATAGCAAGAACATTTTATACCTTACTTCCAGCAATTTTGCAGGAGCGCCTGCCCATACAGAGAGGAGAGAAAGTCCATATTTTTCTCACTGAATTTCTATACTGAAGTTCCAAAGGCAAGACCCGTTTATCAGAAGACGAAAAATTCCCACTCAACAAAAAAACACCTGCAAGAAAACAAACAATTAAGGAATATAAAACAAAAGGCTATAAAGATTTGTTTTTTATTGATGTATAGGAGTACATACCTCTGAGAGTGCAAGAATGGTGGGGTTTAAGATGAACCCCATTTGAGAATTTGCAGAGCAGTGAACCAAAAGCTCGAATTGAAGAAGATGAATACACCATTGCTATTATATAGACTTGAGGTATGCTTGAGCTCAACCAATACTGGTAAGGGAACTAGACATTGCATGGCCACATAATAACCTTCAACCCTAATCCATAACTTACGCAGAAATGATTTTAGTATTCTGGACTATTCGTCTCATGAACAATTAATAAGGTCCATAATCTATGCAACATGGTCTAATGCCAAGAGTAAATTAATTGAGAAACATGACCATAATAATCACATAAAATTAAGAACACCTAAAATATTGTGAAATACGTAAAAAGAAGGTGTGCATATTTATCCACCATAGCAACATACAACTGAAGACAAACTAGCCGAGTCTTCCTCTACTTTGGCTTATGACGGCTGGCACCTTATGAGAAAAGATCTTAGGTTAAGCCTGTCATCATAAGCAAAAGGAAAGGAAGACTCAGCGTAGTTCGTCTTCAGTTGTGCATTGCTATAGCGTATAAAGGTACACACCCTCTTTTTGCCTATTACAGAATATTATAGGTATTCTTAATCTAACTGATTATTATGGTTGTTAATTTACACTTGACATCAAACCATATTACATAGATTATGAACCTTATTAATCGTTCATGAGATACATAGCCTGAATTACTGAAGTTAACGCAATTTGTATCGCAGTTAAATCTGAAATGAAGTTTGTTTATCGACTGTGATTCTATTTTGATTGTTGTGTATATGCACAACATTATTCTATAAAAATAGTCCTGGTGAATCAAGTTCAAAGTTGATCTTGGTTTTGGGGTTTTAACTCGTTAGTAGTTTTCGTTTTAACACATATGTGCTTCCGCTAGTAACAACAATTTGATAAGTGATAAGAGTCATTTATGAATCCTCTATTGAACGGAGAGTTTATGAAATTAGAGATCTTGATTTACAGTTTTCTAATCTGGGCATATAATAAATTGTTTTATCTTTGAGATATTTTTGTCATGTGTGTTTTCAAATTGATAAGTCTTCCTGGATCTTATCAACAAAGTGGGTCTAGATTTCTTAAATTTATTTATGAAAACTGCCTATATCACTCAAAATGAATCTTGGCCATCTTAAAATGTGTTGTTGAAGAGGGAAAAAATAGAAAAGAGAAACCTGAGGTTTCCTTGTTTGTTTCCCATCATTCCAAAGCAAGCTCGAGAAAGGGGACCTAGCCTCATATTTATAGGCTCTAAAGCCTTAACCTAGTGTGCCTCCCCATTATGGGCTCACAGGTCTCCAACAGACCTACACTATTGTCAACTCACACCTATTACATGAAATGATACATGCCCATATGGAATCCACATAAATACATGACTTGTGTGTTGTCCACCAACTATTAACATTCAGCCAGTTTTGCTAAAAGCATAATAATAAGTTGATATATAGTCCACATTTAATAAATAATTCTAACCTAATGAACTATCTAATCTCAAGAAATGCATCTCTCTTTTTCTACTACTGCAGTCAAATGAGGTCAAACTTCATTACAAAAATCTCAAAATCACACGAATAAATATTTCCCAGGATGCTGACACTACTTAACAATGAAATCACAATGCTTCCACAGATCGTAACTACATATAAATTTCTGAACACTTCAGAGATAGGACACTGAGCTGATAGACCACATCCTCTCTACATCTAAGGTAGTAGTAAAGTTTGCTTACACTCTACCCTCCCCAAACCCCATTTTGTGGGATAACATTGGGTATGATGTTGTTGTTATTGTTCAGAGTTAGGATAGTTCAAAAGGCTACATTTTTCTTTGGTAGAGGAAATCAAGCTGGGGAGAAAGATTCAAATTTGAGTTGATTTCTAAGATCCCAATACATTGAATTGGACAGAGTTAACAGTGTTTGTATCAAAGGAAATACAACAACTAGAATTTATTTTATCAGGTTCTGCTCAAAGAAAAAGAAACTGGAACTATATGATTTAGATGTAATAGCAAGAACATTTTATACCTCTCTTCCAGCAATTTTGCAGGAGCGCCTGCCCATACAGAGAGGAGAAAAAGTCCAAATCTTTCTCATTGAATTTCTAGACTGAAGTTCCAAAGGCAAGAGTCGTATATCAGCAGATGAATGCCATGAAGAAGACGAAAAATTCTCAGTCAACAAAAAAACACCTACAATGAAAATAAACAATTTAGGAGAATAAGGTATAAAGATTTGATTTTTATTGATGTATCATGTATGGGAGTACTTACATTTGAGAGAACAAGAATGGTGGGGTATATGATAAACCCCATTTGAGAATCTACAGAGAAGTGAACCAAAAGCTCGAATTGAAAAAGATGAATACACCATTGCCATTCTATAAACTTCCAATTGGGTCTCTGAAGATTTCGATTTTACCATCAGAGTTCCGTTGGATGCATTTGTGCTGTTTGATCCAATTAACAGTAATCGAAAGGATAATATCAACTAGGAGGCTGAACCTCGAAGAAGAAGATAGCTATATCAGGGCAATTCCGAGATAGAAGCTAAGAAGAACAGAGTAAAAGAGAGAAGAGAAGAATTATCATATATCATTCAATGCCTTAACAATTGTATTACATCTCTATTTATAGAGTTGAATTGAAAGCTAAAGCTACAATCTAATGAAATAACTGCTCTAACAAACTCTAACAAACAATGAACAATGATAACTGTTTTTGTGACTAATGAACAGTAGTAACTACTTTTTAATATTCCTAATCATCTACGCTCATCTACGCATTGTATCACTGTTCAATCCTAAATCCTAATCAATCAGGATACTATAAAGTTTTCTTGAATAGCCAAAGATTGCCAGAGGAATGGAGAGCTATATATAAGCAGCCGAGTTGAAACTTAAAACCCCTAGTATTTTTTTGTTTGAGAAATTACACAAACTACTTGAAAAGGAAAAAAAATTATTTTGACCAGGCTAATTTTTTTTGTTTGAGAAATTACACAATCCTACCTGAAAAAGAAAAAAAATTATTTTGACATTTTTTTTGTTTGAGAAATTACACAATCCTACCTGAAAAGGAAAAAAAATATTTTGACCAGAGTATTTTTTTTGTTTGAGAAATAACACAATCCTACCTGAAAAGGAAAAAGAATTATTTTGACCAGGCTAATTTTTTTTGTTTGAGAAATTACACAATCCTACTTGAAAAAGAAAAAAAAAATATTTTGACCAGGATATTTTTTTTGTTTGAAAAATTACACAATCCTACGTAAAAAGGAAAAATAAATATTTTGACCAAAGTATTTTTTTTTTGTTTGAGAAATTACACAATCCTACCTGAAAAGGAAAAAAAATTATTTTGACCAGAGTATTTTTTTTGTTTGAGAAATTACACAATCTACCTGAAAAGGAAAAAAATATATTTTGACTAGGGTATTTTTTTAAGTTTGAGAAATTACACAATCCTACCTGAAAAGGAAAAGAATTTATTTTGACAGGGTATTTTTTTTGTTTGAGAAATTACACAATTTACCTGAAAAAGGAAAAAAAATTATTTTAACCAAGGTATTATTTTTGTTTAAGAAATTACACAATCTACCTGAAAAGGAAAAAAATATATTTTTGACTAGGGTATTTTTTTTGTTTGAGATATTACACAATTTACCTCAAAAGGAAAAAAAATATTTTGACCAGGATATTTTGGACGCCAGAACATGCAGGGTTTGTTTATAAATTTATAATCCCCCCTACCCCACCACTCCACCAAGAAAAATGATAGACGAACAAAAAACGCAGCATTGGCTTTGATTTATATAAAAGCCCTTTTAGTATACTGTAAAGAAGAAGTTTACAGAAAAGGAAACAGAATTAAGAAACTCAAAAACATAATAGCTTACAAAGCTTGGAAAAAGATATAGAAATATTAGAGCTATATCTTACTCAAATCAGCAGATAGTGAGTATCAATCAAGAAAAGAAAATGAAAAACATGGGCAATCACATTTTGGACAAGTTTCACATAACCTAACAATTTTTCATGCCTTCAGATGCATCAGTTTGTTATCTCATTTTGACAGAGCCTATCATTTCATACATTGATTCATTACATTCAAAGTACGCCCTTTTAAATGCTTTGCTGTCATTTTATATCAGAGACAGGACGAACAAGTTTATGATCAGGTTTGAGCACATGAAGAGAAGTAATTTTTTTTCTCACCATGATTCAGCATGACTACTTCCTCTCTTGGAACCTCTTGGCTATAACCATATCACCAGAAGGTAAACGTTTATGTGTTTAAGTTCTGGTGCATATAAATTTTCATAATTCTTTGACTTGTTAACCCAAAAAGATATTTTGCATGTTATCTTTCCAATAAGAGGTACACAATTATTTTGAACCTGAAGGGTTAAGGGCAACCAAACTTCATTTCCTTTCAGACCGGAACAACTTGGGGTTCATTTCAGATCAAACTTCTCAACATACCAACTAGTTTTTCCATAGTTTTCCAGGCCAGTATGCCTTAATAAATCCTCCAAAGTAGTGAAGACTACATGAAGTAACTGGAGAAATAGCTTGAGGAAGGTGGTGTAATAAACTCCTTAGTTAAAAGATTGGCCCTCAACTAAAACCTCTTTGCAGTTGTGCGAGAGGACAGTTAGGTCTAAAATGGACACAGAAACACATATCCATGAGCCGACTAAGCAAGTAAAGAAAAGAACCACTCATGAACAGGTACCAGACCACAATGAAGCTTATACACATGGAAAAAGAGCTCAGAAGTGCAACAGGTGTTCACAGTTTGGTGAAAAACCAAACCAAACCACTTGGATTATGAAAACCAGCAATTGGTTTGCTTTGGTTTTAAGCTTTAAATACCTACTATATTTGGTTTGGTTTTGGTTTTACTAAAAAAACTGAAAAAATAACTGAACTAATAAATTCTATTCATAAATTTTTGAACTATTTGAATATATGATAGAGTATTAGTTTTTCATTAATAATTATAAATATTACCTTTTAATCATTAGTTTGATTTTATTCTACTTATTTCACATGCTTTATAACACTTATAAATTCTAATTCTTGAAAAATATGCCCAAACCCAACACGTCTAATCATCTATATGTGGTGTGATGTATTGCCAGTCTTAATTTTCTTTGCTAAGACATCCATCTACTCTTCAATGGCTTGCCCAGTTAGACCATTCTATTTAAAATTATATATTGCTTCTATGGATGTTAGACATGTAAAATGGAGTAACCTCTACAGTTATGCAAATTAACATGCTAAAACTTTGGAATATTGTTGAAAAATCATAAAATATTCAGATACATTCATCTTGTGATAGTAAAGAGAAATTTGTCGATTCCTAATGTTCATTTGAAATAGTTGTCTCATGTCAATGTTATTTTACTATTGGCAATTCATCATTAGCTAGTTATAAACCGAACCAAACCGATGGTTTTTTATTTATTTGGTTTGGTTTGGTTTGATTTGGCTTTAGAAATTTAAAAACTGACTAAATTGATTTGGTTTTGGTTTAAATCAAAAACCGATCCAAACCGAACAATGAACAGCCCTAAATGCAAGCTCAATTTTCTCAGGAACGAGGTTCCAAGATATGTTTCTGTTGTGCTATTTGGAAAGTCAGGTGATTTGTAGCCCAAATATTCTAGTAAAGTAGGACATTTGTCAGAGGTGTACATGATCTCATTCTACCTACCTGAGTTGAACCAGCTTTTCAAGAATTACAGAATACAGAAGAGGAACTGTGTATTCTGAGAACGTCAAGCATTACAAGAAAGCTATACCAAAGCATAGTTCATGATACCGCAGCAATGGTATAGGTTATTTCCTTTTTCTAGAGAAGAATTACATTTGTTTAGAGTACAACAGATTAACTTAGAGAAACTGAAGCAGGCCACAGAGTAGAAGTGGTCCTACTTTCAACAAAGGTTAGATAAACTTCCGTTCATTTTTTGCTTAGTTCCATTTAAGGAAGTGATTCTTGGATTACCCTATCTCAAATATCAGCTATATTCAGGATCAAAATTGCAATGTCTATGCACAAGGTTAAGCATCCATAGGCCATGACAATAGCAGAGTAGCCAAGTTAATTAAAAAGTACCCTGTACATTTGTTTTACTAATACGACTACTTCAACAATAAATAATGGGATCTGGGCAGAATATGCACCTGAGGTAATGATGGGGAACTGTGAATGAAAGACCCGGGTTATAACTGCTAAGAGGTATCCATAAATGAGAGAGGACACTGAAAACATATTAATCCATTCGAAACGAGACATTCAACTCCCCTTTCACCTGTTATTTCCAATCTATCCAACAGTGTTCTCTCATGATACTATCCTGCACTTCCATAGGTACCCACATCCTTAATCTTTTGTCAACCACAATGTATTCTAATGTTTGACATCCTAGTACCAACTCTTCCAAATCATATCCACTAAGCTTTTCACAACTAGTCAAAATGAGCTCTTTCAATGACCCATGCTTTGTCAAAGTACGGACGCCTTCACCAGTGACAAATTCACAGCCAGTTAAATTAAGAGCATCCAGATTCTTGCAACCTTCAGCTAGAGCAACAACAGTAGCATCAGACACATTTACAAGCCATGACAAGTTCAACCTCTTAAAACTCTCACTTGAAGCAATAGCCTCACCAGCTAAATCAGTCACATTCGGTCCACATTCTGCCAAATCCAATTCCTCCAAGCAACATAATTGCATCAAACTCAACACCCCACAATCCGTAATCCTATCACATTCAGCAAGAATTAGTTTCTTCAAGGTCATCCTAAGAGGTCCTCCTGTTAATGATTTCAAACCCGCATCAGATACCAACCAACACCCCTGTAGATTCAAGTACTTCAAAGAGCTAACATTTCCAATAACTCTAAGTGCTTCATCACTAACCTTGTCACAAAAACTTATGTCTAAATGTATCAACTTAGGCAAAAAGCTAACAAGAGAAACAACCCCAGCATCCCCAACTCCACTTCTCTTTCTCAAAGAAACTGTATTGAGATGAGAACAACCCATTGCGATGAAACACAAACCATTTTCATCAAAATCATCCAAGATTAAACTTTCATCCCTTTCATCATAAAATTTGCTCTTTTTCTTGAAATTAAGGTTAAGAATTTGGATCCTGGGACATTTTTCAGCTAAAATTTCAAGATGGGTGTTCGTGATTTCTTCAGATGTATCAAATTTTAGCAAATTTGGGAATCTTGGAAGGAAATTAAGCAAAAGATTGGGTTCAAAAACACGTACAGATGATCGAGTTATGCCTTCAATTTTGAGCCACTGCTTACAAACTTGAGAAATGGATCTTCTACAGGCAGAGTCGTGAACCCTACTCATTATCGAAGCTAAAACATCATCTCCCAAATTTTCCATTCTCAATTGCTACATAGTGCAGATAGTGTCTTTATTTGTAGTGATTTTTTTTTTCATTGTTCTTTTGGATCATTTATAAATACAGAAATATGCTCTCTTGCATCAGCTTATACATGCCTTTAATATTGGACATGTATAAAATCAAACCAATAACACAGTATAAAATTAAACAAATAACACACATTTTACCTGATATATTAAATGACAAACCCTATATAAAATGCATGTTGCATATTAATGATTGTTTGGTACGAAAAAAATATATTTTTCATGAAATTTTTTATCCATGTTTGTTTATAAGTGAAAAATTGGTTGTTTATAAGTGGAAAATAAGTTAGAAACCAAACTCCATTAAGACATGACTTGGATTCAACATTCGAACTGCGATCCAATCTGAATCCTGATATCCGAACCTAGACAAGACCGATTCAAAACATTGATTTAGAAAATATTTTAAAAAATATTTAAGCCAACCAAACATAAAAAAAAATGAAAAATATTGTTTTCCTTTATACCAACCCCTATCTCAATCTCGATATCCGAACCTGGACAAGACCTTGACTAATTCAAAGCATTGATTTTGAAAACATTTATGAAATAATTGAGAAATATTGCTTTCCTTGATAACCAACATGAAATAATTGAAAAACATTGTTTTCCTTTATACCAACCCTTAAAGGAATAGTATTTAATTTATTGTTTTTTTTTATTTTCTATCTGGTGTTCGGTACCCATATTTGAGTAAGCGCACAAAGACGAGTTTTAGGGCTCATAACTAAAATGATCATTTTTTCCAATATAATGACTATTTTTATTATAAGGTAAATATGAATGACTAAAATGACCAGTTTTTCATATATTAAGAACTATTTTAATTACACAATATATATGAAGGGCAAGATGAATCACTTTTTCTAAACAGTAAAGACTATTTCAAAGTATGTGGAAAACTAGATGAATCACTTTTTCTATAAATTAAAAACTACCAAAGTATTTCAATTACATGGTATAAAAGAAATCACTTTTTTTATAGATAAAAAATTCTTTCATTTATATATGATAAACGGAAGTCCGGAGCCAAAAGGACAACTTTTTTCTTTCAAAAAACTAAAACGGCACATCAAAAATAATTTAACCAAAAGGGCAAAATCGCTCCTTCAGGAGCGATTTTCTTCTGACAAAAGTTGTCATACATTAAAAAAAAAATCTTTTTTTCTTCAAAATAGCAGCGATTTTCTCAAAAAAAAAATCTTTTTTTCTTCAAGATTTTCTCAAAAAAAAATAATCTTTTTTTCGTCAAAATCGCTGCTATAGCAGCAATTTTGGTTAAGAATTTTTTTAAAAAAAATTAATTTAATATTCTTTTATTATTATTTATGATATATAATTCAATTTTCCTCATGCTTCAACAATTTTATTGAGTATACTGTCCGCCTTGTTTATCATTTTTATATTATTAATAATTAACAATAGGCATGAATATGCATGAAAATAATAGCACTAGGCATGAAAAAACGCTGCCCCTGCAACGATATGTAAGGAAAATAAAAAAAAATTAACAAAATCGCTGCCCTGGCAGCGATTTTTCATTTAAAAAAAAAAAAACTTTTAGACAAAATCGCTGCTAGGGCAGTAATTTTTCGTCATTGTGTCAGAGGGAAGTCGCTTCGTCAGGAGCGATTTTGCCCTTTTGGTTTTAAAAAAATTTGATGTGCCCTTTTGGAATTTTTGACAATATTTTTTGCTCTTTTGGCTCCGGACTCTGATAAACGGAGGGATCACTTTTACTATACATCAAAAACTATTTCAATTACATACATATCTATATCTATATATAATAAGCCACAATGCAAAGATTTTTATAGTATTTAGTTACATTGTAACTATCTTGTTAGCTTTCAACCAAAAGGAGTACTTCTTTTAAATAATAAATATGTCATTGTATGAGCTATTTATTACTCATTCCTTTTGAATTTGTTAATCTGATTTTGATCTAACACATAGTTTACGAAAGTAAATTAGATTTTGAGAAAAAACATTAAGTGATACTTGAAGTTGTCCCAGATTTTCAAAAAAACACTTTAACTTTGCGTGCGTCCTATTACCCCACAAAACATTCAAAATCACAATAAATACACATTTTTTACACAATATTTCCACTTTGGACAAAATATCCTTTGAATGTGCAATTTCTTAAAAACAAAAAGTCGGACCCATTACTGATGTATTGAAGGATGCTTTGGTAATTTCCTATCATGAGTATTTCAAAGGCAAAAAAAATTGATTGAATCTCAAATTTTTTTTAGTACTACATAAATTGAGAAAGAAGAAATGACCTCTATTATTTGAAAATGGCGTAAAAGTATTACAAATCATACAATAAGAATTAACAATTTAAAATTTTAAAGACTTTAATGCTTTATACTTATTCTATTTCTACTTTGGACAAAAATATCCTCCCAATATGCATATTTTTTTAAACAAAAAGTGGGACCCATTATTGATGTATTCAAGGATGCTTTGGTAATTTTCCTATGATTAATTCGTTTTGTTTGTTGTTTAATTTTTTTTAAATAATTGTATAAAATATTATAAATCATAATAATTATTTACTTAAATATTCAAAACATATAAAAATATGTAAAAGATCTGATTAACTCTTCAAATTTTATCGGTGACACATAAATTGGACAAATGAAATAATATATATTATTTGAAAATTACTTAGAAAGTACAATAATTTACAGTAATTAACAATAGAATATTTTAAAGACAAAAAAAAATTAGATTGAATCTCGAAATTTTATTAGTACCACATAAATTGAGAAAGAAGAAATAGCCTTTTATTATTTGAAAATTGCGTAAAAGATATTACAAATCATACAACAATAATTAGCAATTTAGAAAAGACATAGAATTTTTTTTACCATAGTTAACAATAATTAAAAATTTAAACTATTTTAAATTAATATTAAAGTTTGATTAACTTTTTAATTTTGTCTTTATCACATAAATTGAAACAAAAAATGATACATATTGGGCCCGTGCTAGCACGGGCTCCGATGTCTAGTATATTAATATATATGAAAGACTAGAATAATCCAACCCCATTAAGGACTATTTTGATAGTTTTCCCAACAGTTTAGTCGAGTAAAAGTGAAGTCCAAAAAAAAGTAAAATTGGTTACATCCCTTCTCCGGAGTTCAAATCCAATTGCCGCATCAAACTTTATCAGTTCTGTCTGCTTATCCTTCTCATACACCTATGTTCTCAAGGAAGTCTCAATTTGCACATTCAAACTTGTCTTGTGATTCATCACAGCAAGACAAGTCTTACTGGAAGTTCCAAGACGACTAGGATTTCCAACTCATCATGAGATCACAACTGCATACCTGGAAGGAAGTTTTCAGGTCTAGCGTGATTATTAAACCTTTGGAAGATAATGGATTCAACAAACCTACAGAATGAATACAATTATCACAGCTTCGGGACCAAGATTGTGTCCACTGACCACCACCAGATAACTCATGCAGAGTAACCAAGTGCTATGAGAGAGGAGTAATGACTCCATGCTTATGTCAACCAACCTCTTGCGAGCTAGACCACTGTTCATGGTGCAACAACAAAAAATTGACAATCAAGTCACTCTCACAGCTGCGGTAAGCAAAATGGATCTTCAGCAAATTGAGAGCTAGACAACTATTCATAGTGCAACAAAAGAAATTGATTTGTATGTTTCAGAATAATATTAGCATGTACCCAAATATGTTTCTAAGTAAAACATGAGTTTTGCACTCCAAACTACTATTATTTAGAAATTTCTAGTGTTACATTGAGGTAAATTAATAATTATGCAACAGACACTTAGTACTTGAGACAATTTTTCTTTTTCTTCTTTTTATTCAATCAGGGTAATCTAATAGTTTTGGCCATGAAAGCAACTCAAGGGCACTACGGATGATGAGAAAGCATATGACAAGCGTAAATCAAGTCATGAACATAAGAAGAAAAATCTTTCCTCCTGTGACCACAAGTACACCCCTCCATCAAATCACAATGGCGAGTTATAAACTTAGCTGCTGAATGCATCACAATATCTGAAAAACAATGGACCATTTAAGGTAACCAGCACCTTGAGAATGTTAACACAAGAAGGTTCATGTTACCAGAACAAGAAGTATCTGCAGATACCTGCTCCAAGGTTCAAAGGATGGGATGATACAAGGTACATAATACTGTTGTTACCCACCAGTACAAGAGAACTATGTGAGCGAGCCATCTTAGCTATTTTCTGAAAAAGATCAGAGAGGAGAAAACACATATAAGAAAAGGAAGCAATTATCAATTGAAATTTAATAGACTTCAACATATCAGCAGCCATGAAAGAACACTAAACAATATTTCTTAATACAAGAGAAATGACATTTGCTTGTCAAATGAACAATAACCAGTAGTCCACCAAAGAATGATAGTACGTATATTGAGTTTTGGGTTATTACATATTATTCTCCTCCAATTTGAAGGCTTTTGGGTTTACTCCTACATAATTATTACCAAATCCACCAGAGAACGACAATACGTATATTGTAGAAGTGAACAAAAAGGAAAAAAATTCATTAGAATTATAAAGCAGTGTTGTTTTCTGAGTAAATAGCAAAGTATTACAACCCTCGCTCCACTGAATTAATCAAGGCACTGAGGTGATGCAAAATATTTCATCGCAACCACATAACATACAACTATATGCACATAGTTTGGTACTTGTATAATAATAATCATTAAGATAATCTAAAGCAGACCACAAGGGCAAAAGTTTATTAAAAATAGAATATCAACAAAAACTAAAATAGACAAAAAAAAAAGAAGAGAAAATCGAAACCAAACCTAGGACTTGAGTATGTAAGCTGGCGACAATCGGAACTGACAAGAGGCAAGGCAGATAGAGAGCCATAAATAATAAAGAAGAATTAAAACTGAGGGAGAAGAGATAGAGATAGATAGAGTGAGGGAGAGATGATTCGGATTACCTGGTGACGACAGCCGTTGATTGGATATTTATCAGCTTGAGAACTCCTCTTTTTTATGCTATACAGGAAGAGTCTTCCTATTCTACAAAATCTCATAGAATCACTGTGAGTAAGGATTTTCCTATTACGTGTTGATCGAAGGTGTCATGCTATCTCCACCACTGGCTTTCTTCGCCAACGCCAACGATTCATCCACAATATCAAACACACTCACCTTCCTCTTCCACATTGTTCTTATCCAGAACATCTAAAATCCACCACAAATCCAAAATCCCTGACGAAACAATTGCAGATGCACTGAATAATCGGAGAATAGGAGACTGAAATTTTAGATTTCCGTCTGTTCTCGGTTTACAAGGAGGGAGGGAACATACAAAAAGGTGGAGGGAAGATAAAATTAGGAAAAAATCACTTTCAGTTATTTGTATTACTCTATTTAGTACCAACATTTTGTGGCTAATCTCTTCAATGGCCAGTGAAAAGGTCTTCATTCCTATTTATTGTCTAATTGTTGAGCAAAGGAATATAGTGACATTCAATTAATTGCCAGTAAAGACATTTCTTTTGGTAGCTAGGTGGATGACTTGTTTTCTAAATCTTGCCTAGAAGCGCAAGCGTGTGACTTAAGCTATTTTGGATGTTAAAGAATGTAACATAATTTGCAGCTACACATCTAATGTAAGTTAGTTTTGTTGCTCATTGCTAAAGCATGTCGTATTTTAACAACTCTATACACAAGGTGGAATTGTTATTGTTGCTCTATTTAACTTTAGCGTATCATATTTTTTTAGCTATTATGAGGCAATGCAATCATGTTAAAAAAATTCATCTCTCTTTACAATTACAAGGTCACTGTTCTAGCTTCTTGAAAGGGGTCTTCTTATAGTAACTTGAATCGCTAAGGACATTCTTCGAGGTCGTGATAATGAAGGGGTAAAAATGGAGCGACACGCAAATTAGTTTGAGATTGAGACATAGTTTTGTTGTTTTACCAAATGAGTAATCGTACGCATGTGTTTCACAAAGAAGTGATACCTACAAGCATTATTCATGCAATGAATATAAAGGGGGAAGAAAAGCATTCTTCATGCAATGAATACTACTACAGTTAATACATTAATATTTTCAATCAAACCAAACAATGCATTAAAATAATCTATGTATAATTAATGCAAGCATAACTAATATATGCATTGCTAATGCATGCATTACTAATACACTCTATTTAGCATTATTCTTATACACTCTACCAAACGACCCCTTAGTGGCCTAAAGTCAAAACTTAATAAGATATCATACATTTTAAAAAAATTTATGATTTTTTTTTCAAATTTACCCCTTTAACTTTTTAAGTCATAGAGTTAGAAATTTATCCTTGTAAAGATTAATTCATTCAAATAAATTTGGCAAACACACAACTGTTTTTCCAAATTAGTAATGTGGGATTGCAAACATGTAACTAAACACCGTACTTGGTATGTGGAATCTTTAGCAATTGTAACGCTACCAAACATAGTACTAATTATGTTAATTTTGATATATGAATAGTTCCACATTCTAATGAGCACCCAAATGACCCATTAGTTTGTGATTTTCTGATGACACAATATTAACTCAAAAAATGAAAATTTTCGTAAGTTATGATTGACAACAAAAATGTGTTAACTATAGAGAGCCCTTTTATCTTTATTCATTAATCACATATTTTACATATGAAAAGATAAACAACAAGAAATTGAAACAATCACAAAACTTAATGTATTGATTGTAGTAGTATCTTGATATATTTCCACTAAGAAAAATTCATAGTTTCTTTTGCCTTTTCCTACCCCCTTCATATTAATTGCATGAAGATTACTTGTAGGTATGACTTGTTTATGAAGCACGTGTTTAGCATTATTCATTTGGTAATACAACACAAACTACGTCTTAGTCTCAAACTATTTTTTGAATATTGCTCCAGATTTGCTTCCTTCATTATCACTACCTTAAACAATGTCCATTAGCGATACAAGTTACTACAAGAAGCCCCCTTTCTCAAAGCTAGAACATGATCTTGTAATTGTAAAGAGGAACGATAAATTTTGATCCAACAGATACTTTTGATAACTCAAAGGAGTTTTTTTAGCTTTACTAACATGATCACATTGTTTCACAATATCTAACATAATATGATAAGCTTAAGTTAGATAGTAGTTGAGAAAACAGTAAGAATTCCCCATGTACATAGAGCAGTTAAAATACAATATGATTTAGCGTTGAACAACAAAACTAACTTACACTACTAGATGTGTAGGTGCAAATTATGCTACATTTTTAACATCCAAAATAACTTGAGTCATAAGCCTCTGCTTCTAGGAAAGATTCTCAATAATCTTATGAACATCACCAGATTTAACTGGATTTGATGGATCATGCGGATGCCTGTCAAAAAAGTGTGACGCTAAATAAACGGCCAAAAGCGATAATAAAGGAGACATAACAGTTAAAGAGCAATATCTTCCTCATATCCTACTCTGAAGAGTGTTATTTTGAACTCTAAGGTTTCAGATTCCATGGATTTACTCAAACTAAAGATTAGAAATTCTAGTGTACAAACTTCTCATAGTCATCGGGGAGTTAAACATGCAAATTGTTGACAAGATACAAGCAAACAGCCAAAAACTTTATACAAGTACATCTATATAAATATTTGTTGGCTTGCTATTTTCTAATGACTGTGACTTAATCAATCTGATAAGGTAAGATAGTCCATGTGTAGAGGGTTAATATAGCAGAGAAATTACAAGAAAGAAATAATAATGATAAAACCATATCACTATACAAATATGGATAACATCACTTGAAATAGGGTGATTTCTTTATCAACACAACATTTATTGTTGGCACTAAATAGAAAAGCAGAAAAGAACCAAACAATTTAGTCTCAGGTCACACAACATTGAGGGTCCAGAACAACAGTAAACAATCTACTTTTTGCATTTAATTGTTTCTCTATCAGTATATTCGTCGCATCTCTTCCTAATATTAACATCATCAGTGAAATTTGGAACCTCCTAAGAGGCTTCCAGAGATAGAGCCATTAGGCGAGAAAAAACAACCTAGTTAGTGCACTAACTCAAACCTAGTTCTTGCACGAAACAAGTAATCCAATGAGACATCATAAAGTTCCATTACTTTCAAAAAGAAAATTAATTTACAAATCTATTAAACATTTTAATTTTATAAATCCTTCAACCATTTGTTTCTTTTTTTTATTCACTAAGGATGTAGTGAAGATTAGAAGGCAGCAGTGCATTCCAACACAACATACCTTGAAGATGCATCAGCCAAGTCTAAAGGTAAATGAGATTGTAAATACTCTTTTAAGAAATTTAGTCGACTTTCGGGGTAAAACAAGAACATATAGAATAACAAAAGAGTAAATATAGAAAAAAGACTCACTCACAAAGGATTTGGTGTGACCCAAATTGGATGACAAACATGATTGAGGGAAACACCATCATAATGTAGCTGGATATTGCCATATGCTAGTTTAACATCCCTATGTCCAAGCTGCCACCTTAAACTAGGGGTAAGCACCCAAACAATTATCTGTAAAGTAAATATGATTGGTCTTGAAAACCAGTTGGCATAGTTTTGCAAGCATCTAAATCAATCTGGAAAACCAGAAAAGTTTTTGTCCTACAAGTGTAGGACTTATTCCCTCATCATCAGCTTCAACTTGTATGAGCGTTAGTGGAATCTTTTCGCAATCATCTTTGACGCACCTTAAATCAAAACCTCATTGCGCAACTACAAATAATGATCCTAGTGATTCTAGGATGTGATACTTACCATCAATCCATGGTTCTAGCTGCACTATGATATGACTTTTACCGGGTTCAAAGCCAACGACATCACAAACTTAGATGCAACTGCTATAATAGATTGCATAAAAGTTGCCATTGAAATATTACTATTAAAATTGTCCTAGAGGCTTTAAAATACACTATTAAATAGTGCAGGGGGATAAAAGGTCCTCCATAAAGTTTGATATCGTAACAATAATTTCGGTCAAAGTTGGAGTATTTTTTAGACCCTTTTCCCCCAAAAATTAGTACACGAACAATATTTTTTTTTACTAGCTATCGAACGACCCTTAGGTTTAAGACTAAAATAGATTGTGTGTAAAATTAATTGGTTTTCTTATTTTAATAAATTCACCCTATATAAGATTTTCTTAACCCACAAGCGTGGTTGAATTGGTATAGCACGAGTATTCCATAAGAGAGAATAAGAATCAAATCTCACCTGATCTTTTTCTGATTGATTGATTTTTCTCACTTGAATAGTGCAAATCTGTCGTATAATTTGCAAGCTATTGCATAAAGAAGATTTACTTAGTGTGCCCCCGAAGGTAACAGTTACAGGTTGTAACACTTCGGATTTGAAAAGAATGGAAAAAATGTAGTTTTGGGTTGCAGTTGTGATCGACGGTTCCTACCTACGGTTGGTAAGAGCATTTAGAGATGGTAGGTGGCATCCGTAGGTGACAAGGAAAAAGAAGTAAAATATTTTCAAAATTGTTAGGACCTACGTTGGCCATGTACGGTCTGTAGGTAGACCTACCAACCTACATGGGCTCCATCGTTTGAAGGTCCAGGGACAAAACAAGTCCCTAAACCCCACCAATGGTTCACCAGGACGGTCCGTAGTTGGACCTATGTACCTATGAAACATAGGTCCAACTGTCATTGGGGGTCCAATAGTTTTATTTTCAAGGCTTCTGGGTCTTTTCCTTATTATTCTAACTCAATACTATGTCATTTTACCCTCTATCCTGAGACCTATATAAACATTTTAAACCCCCAAATTACCCAATTGAACTCATTCTCCTAATTTCTCAAAGTTGATCAAAGTTTTCCCCAAATATTTCTCTTTCTAAAGCTTGAAGAAGAAGTCTAGGGTTTCGAGATCAAGTCTCTGATTATCCATTGATGGTGGGCCTTTGACATCAAGGTATTATTGTATTCACCTATGGATTTCTTTTCTCCATAGGGTTCCTAAATTCCCTAATTTCACAAGTTCAAATCTACAATTGAAAGTAGTGTTTTTCTTCAATCTCATGGTTCCTTTCATTAATGATACAATTGATTGTTTTATGTCTTTTTATGCATGAATTGAGATAATTGCATGTTTCTAAGTTGAATTCACTTGAATCCATGCATAATCTATGATTTTTAGGTTTTGACCATATAATGAAGCTTTTGAACTAAGAAAGGTGAATTGATGAAGATATGCATGTTTCTTATTCAAACTCGTGTGTTTCTCAAATTGATTCGACTACCTCTTATACTCAAGGTGGTTGAAATAGAAAAGCTCAGATCATTATCGATGAGTTACTCTCATATGAAGTCTTCAGAAATTCAAGAGACTACAAAGGGGCTTGAGAGAAGCCCATGAATGAGCTTAAGTGTTTGGATTCAAAAGAATACTCTCTTATTCATATGAATCGTGCGTTTGAGCTAAAATCGATATGTACCCTAGAGTTTTTTTCTCTAAACCTCTTTTCAGATGAGACCCTTATGAGAGAAGTGTGTTTTAAAATGCTTGGGTAGTATTTTTACCTGAAAGATAGTGCACGATATTATGAGTAAATAGTAGTAGAAATTCCCAGAATTAGAATAATGCATTTAGAGGTGTAGTAATCTAAGAAAGGGAGATAGTGATGAAGAAAATTATGTTGTTGCATTCATATATCCAGTAAGTTATCAATAGGTAGTTTTCCCTTATGAGTAGGCTAAGAAGTGATGATTTGGTGTAGATTTCATTATAGAAGGCAGATGAATAGTTACTAGTCAGGATGAGTTAGAGTATACTTTAACCAGAAAAGAGTTTATGTCGATGTGACATTATGTTAATGAAGACCAAGTATAGGTGTTGAATAGAAGAGAAGAGCATTCATTAGGTGATACATCTAATCTAGGCTTATGATTTTCAAATGTAGAACCTCATGATATTCAAAGGGCTATAGAACTGATTAGACATTGATGTATGTATAAATAGTACTTAAGTTGTAAAAGGGAATGTGACGGTAATATGTAAATAGGTAGACTGAAGATAAAGATTAACTACGTGTCATGAGGTCTTAGTGGGTGAATGTTTCTTAATTTTATCTAGTGGTCGTAAGTTAGTATAGTATGTGAGAAATTATATAGATATTTGTGTTTAAACCTAGACACTAAGTTTGAATTTGAGATGAGTATCGTGATAAAAAGGATGGCAACATGAGGGTGATGATGTTAGTTTTATGATCTGATCTAATAGGTTTGACATAAATTAGGTGAAGAATTATGGTGTTACTTTACGATAAATGTGAGTGATACAAGTGTGTTATTATGACTCTTAGATAAGAGTAATGAAGTGTGGATAGGTATTTCGATTAGCAAGAGCATTAAGATGTGTAACCGAGATCGTATGTAGTTAGATAAGGTTCTAATTAAGTTTATAATTTCTCATGTGTGCCTAGATAGTAAATTCAAGTTGTCAACAAGGAGTAGGTTGATGCAAGTATTTTCCCCCTTACGATTTAGATAAAGCAGCCTTATAAGCCAATGTTGGTAATGATAATATATAGACTTTTATAGAAGCAGAAAGATATTAAGAGAAGTACCTCATAAAGAAGCCCTAGAAAGAATCTTAGTACCTGCACATGGGAGAGTTTAGTAGCCAAGAGATTATAATTTCCCTAATATTAGAGTAAAGTGAATAAAGACTAGTTTAAATTAGTCAGGCAGGCCAAGGGTACGCTTGGGGATCAACAATGGTTCTCAGTGTCGGCCACGTCCAGGGTGTAAGCTCGGGGAGTGACATTATTGGTTGCTCCATGTAGTGATTGCTACGATTTGGTACCCTCCTCTAGTGTATGTGACCTTAGTTATTAGTTATAGTAGTAGGTGGACCTTTGTTGTATTTAGGGTTCTTTTGGGTAGTACTTTTGGGCAAAAGAGGAAATCCTAGAGTCACCCTTTTGGTTATCGTTCCTTTATAATTCCTTCATATCTTGATTATGGTGATCATGTTATGATGTTGTTATGGCTATATTGGTATATTATTGGACTCGGTGTCACCCCCGAGCATACACTTTGAACGTGACCGACACTCAAGAACCATTACTGGTCCCAAGCGAACCCTTGGCCTGGCTCAATACTCAGCAGAAGACTTACTCAACAATATATGAACTCAAGAGGAAAGATTTACTCATTTGTCTTAAAAATAAATAAACTCAGAAATGTTTGGAAACATTTAACTAGCCAAAAGAAGGCAACTCAAGTCTTAAACATTAACAATGGAAATGGAAAAGACTTCTCAAAACACTACTGTCTATGAAACCTCTAAACACTATGACAGACGTCGGGACAAGACCCACAACATCTTAGCAATACTGAAGGTAAATGGGGAATCCTTCGAAAGCAAGGAGGCTCACCAAAGCAAATTTGGAACTGCAAGTAGTATCAATGGAGCGCCTGTTAATGACCCTGAATATCTGTAACTGCATCATGAAAGATGCAGGCCAAATGACGTTAGTACATTGAATTTACGAGCATGCAAGGGGAACTCTAAAGCATAGACATAAGCTTGAACTGATAAAAGGAAGACATACTCACCTCATCTCACCTCAACTCAATAATACTCAACTCAACTCAACCATACTCAACTCAACATGAACTCAAGAATACTCAACTCAATATGAAAGCAACAATAAGGATACAATTTATATAAAGCTCTTAAAACAGTAGATAATAACTCAATGTATATGAAAATACAAAAATAAACTTTTTACTCTTATTTGGGAGATTCTCAAATCGATAACAATCACTATGAGCTACGTGATGATACAACGTCTCGCCCACACTGCCAGAACTGTCATATACCTTGTCGGAGTATAGGACATCCTCAATTAAGTGGATCCACTAAGCTATGCTTAAAAAAATAAGGAATCATCTAAAAGTATAATTTTTTACCCATGTTGGCTACATGGTTATGAGGAATGTGAGTTGTCTGAACTCATCCCCATATCGGTGCTCAATACTACTACAAATAATATAACTCATGATCAATGTTTAAAAACATTCCTTATCCTCAAACTTGAGATTATTAGTCAAAAAATTCTTTTAAAAGAGATAATACTCGAAACTCCTCATAAGCTCATTCAGAAATCAAGGTTTCTTCTCGTTTTAAATGTAAAAACATTTACACTTAGGAATACTTAGTTCCCTTATTAATCATTTTGAAACATGAACTCAACTCTCCTCATTCTCATACTCAAGTACTCAAGTCTTATATCAAGTTTAAAAAAGATTGAAAAGGATTTCTCAAAGTGACTCAAAAAGGTTTCTCGAACTTCACTCTTAATCTTTACTTTAATTTGAAAAGTATTAAGAGACATGATTAGGATATATGAAGGATCTCTCTATGATTTACGAAGGTTTAGGTAGTTGATATTGTGAAGGGAATGAAAGTTCAGCACAAAGGAACAAGTACGGAACGAGAACGAAGAAAGGTGCAATGGTGGCACGTCGCGCATGCCTCCATTTACTGGGGGTCAATATGGGTACACTGTTCTTTCTGAA